AGGAATAGTTGAGGTTCCAGCAATTTTAGAATTTGGCTAATGGGTCAATCCAGCAAACTAAGGATTGGAGGAAAACAAGCATATCTAGTAGCCTGTAGAAACCACAAATATTCAGTTACAGAGGTATTTGCCTAGTTTCACATCAATGGAAAATATTTGTTTTGGGCCAAGTTGCTCTTTACCGAATTCAGTAAGGAAGCCAATTCAAGTACACCGAAATCTACTATCTTTAAAAGAACTAATACTCTTTTTGAGAAATATTCTTACTCTTAAGAGTATTAAAAGATAACGCTTTTTTTTTTTGCTTCAAATTCTGTCAAACAACTCTTCCTTTCTGGACCCAGTTTACTGCTGTTGTGAGGTGCTGATGAGTTGGTCCAAAGTCACAGCAACCCTATGTACAATAGAATAACAACACTGCCTGGTCCTGCGCCACCCTCATAATCCTTGCTATGCTTGAGCTACTGGTAGAGCCATTGTGTTAATGCATTCTCTTTTAAGGTCTTCCTCTTTTTCACTGACTTTCTTTACCAAGCATGAGGTCCTTCTCCAGAGACTGGCTGTTCTGGATAACAAGTCCATAGGACACAATACAAAGTCTCATCATCCTCGTTTCTAGGGAGTATTCTGGCTGTACCTCTTCCAAAACAGATTTGTTCATTCTTCTGGCTGTCCATGGTATATTTAATGTTCTTCCCAACTTCATAACTCAAATATATCAATTCTTCTCCAGTCTTCCTTACTCTCAACCACATTGCATGCATATTAAGCGACTGAAAGACATGGCTGGGGTCAGGTACGCTTTAGCCCTCAAAGTGACATCTATGCTTTTTAACATTTTCAAGAGATCTTTTGCAGCATTTTTGCCCAATGCAAATATGTCATTTGATATACTGGCTGCTGTTTCTATGGTGTTGATTATGGAGCCAAGTAAAATGAAATCCTTGACAATTTCAATATTTTCTCTGTCATGATGCTGGTAACTGGTCTAGTTGTGAGGATTTTGTTTTTTTATGTTGCGGTATAATCCATACGGAAGGCTGTAGTCTTTAATTTTCATCGGTAAGTCCTAAAGTCCTCTTTACTTTCAGCAAGCAAGGTTGTGTCATCTGCATGCCACAAGTTGTTAATGAGTCTTCCTCCAATCCTGATGCTGTGTTCTTCTTTATATAGTCCAGTTTGTTGGATTATCTGTTCAGCATACAGAATGAATAAATATGGTAAAAGGATACAAGCCTGATCCACACCATTCCTGATTTTAAACCATGCAATATTCCCTTGTTCTGTTCCAACAACAGCCTCCTGGTCTATGTACAAGTTCTATACAATTAAATGCTTTAGAATTGCCATTATTTTCAATTTTTTTCATAATTTCATATAATCCACACAGACAAATGCTTTTGCATAGTCAATAAAACACAGTCAAACATCGTTCTAGCATTCTCTGCTTTTAGTCAAGATCTATTTGACATTAGCAATGATATCTCTAGGTCCATGTCCTCTTCTGAATCTGGCTTCAATTTCTCACAGCTCCTTGTACATGTACTGCTGCAACCCTTTTTGAATAATCTTCAGCAAAATTTTACTTGTATGTGACATTAATGATACTATTCAACAATTTCTGCATTCTGTTAGATCACTTTTCTTTGGAATGAGTACAAATAAGGATCTCTTCCAGTCAGTTGGCCAAGTACCTGTCTTCCAAATTTCTTGGCATAGGCCAGTGAGTACTTCCAGTATTGTATCAGTTTGGTGAAACATCTCAGTTGGTATTTCACCAACTTGTGAAACCTTGTTTTACCCTGATTGCTCCAGTGCAACTTGGATTTCTTTGTTCAATACCATTGGCTTTTTCGTTTTTAAATTTTTATTGTGATTTGGGTGAAAGTTTACAGAGTAAACTTATTTTCCATACAGCAGTTTATACACATTTTGTTTCATGACATTGCCTATGATTCCCCATGATGTAACAGCTCTCTTCCCACTTCCTCCCTGTAGTTACCGCTTCCCTGTGTCCTACTTTTCTATGCATTCCTACCCTCTGGGCTATACCCTTGTGCAAACACTGCCCTTCTGTTCTTGCACGACTGATCACTCTAAGGAGTGTATCTAACTGACATAAATGTTCACCTTATATGCCTGCCTACTGTTTGGCTGGAAGCCACAGGAGTGAGTTCAGTTCCAGACCTGAAGGGTAACAAGTTCAGTTCCAGACCTGAAGAGTAACTAGGGGCCATAGTCTTATGGGTCTCCCCAGGCTTTATCAGATCAGTAAACCTTGTCTTTTTAAAATAGCATTGGCTCTTGATCATATAGTACCAGATGAAATGGTTGAATGTTGACCAATTTCTCTTGCTACACAATACATTGTGTATTCATCTTTTTTTGATGCTTCCTGTATTGTTCAAGTTTTTATATATAGAAAACCAAACTCGCTGCCGTCAAGTCAGATCTGACTCATAGTGACCCCTCCTTGGGTTTCCGAGGTGGTACCACTGTGGAAGTAGATTGCTCAACCTTCTCTCTGAGGAGTGGCTGGTGGGTTTGAACCACCAGCCTTCTGGTTAGTAGTCAAATGCCTCAGGCACTATGCCACCAGAGTTCCTATGTATAGAAAGAATACTTCAATATTGGGACCCAAGGCATGAATTTTTACTTCAGTTCTTTCAGCTTGAGAAATGTCAAATGTGTTCTTCCCTTTTGGTTTTCTCACTTCAGGTCTCTGTACATTTAATTATAGTACTTTATTTTGTCTTCTTAAGTCACCCTTTGAAATCTTCTGTTCAGCTTTTACTTCATCAATTCTTTCACTTGCTTTAGCTACTTTCTGTTCAAGAGCAAGTTTCAGTGTCTTTTCTGACATCTATTTTGGTCTTTTCTTCCTTTCCCGTCTTTTTAATGACCTTTTTTCTTCACGTATGATATCCTTGATGTCATCCAACAACTCATCTGGTCTTTGATCCTTAGTGATCATTGTGTCAAATCTAGTCTTGAGACGGTCTCTAAATTCAGGTGAGATATATTCAAGGTCATACTTTGTCTCTCATGGACTTATTTTCATTTTCTTCAGCTTCAACTTGAATTTGCATATGACCAAGTGATGGTCTCTTCTGCACTAGGCCCTCAGCCTTATTTTGACTGATAACATTGAGCTTCTCCATTACCTCTTTCCACAGACGTAATCAATTTGATTCCTGTGTATGCTATCTGACAAGTTTAATGATAGATGTGAAATAGCCTACTTTTAAAATTAAGTCTCCAGGAAAAAAAAAAATCCCTCTAAAATCATTCTTAATTATTGAAGTTGGGTGACAGAGATGGATAAATGGAAGTTTATGAAAATATTTCATTATAATATTCCATGTTGAGTATTTTTCTTTTCACATTGAGTATTTTTAAATATCAGTAGTATAAAGATTTTTTAAAAAGCCTGGCTCCAGATGACAAAGACTTAACTATGTGACTTTGGGCATGTCATTTTAAATTTTCTGAGTCCCAGTGTCCTCATTTTTATAATAGGTATATGCAGTGTAGTAAATTACTTAGTATGGCTTTTCTACCCATAAGTCATTGTAAACTCAGCGGTGGAATGAGCAACTGAGTAGCTCCTGATTGTAAATATTATCCACCTGGGTTATTTCTGTTGGGTGTGGCACAACGCAATGTTATGGGAGGTTCCCACTCTCTCTCACGTGCTTAGAGTTCTGATGCTATGATTGGCTAGTTTGGCCACTCTGCCGGGCTCAAAAGGAGGCCTCCTAGAGGCAGAACTCTCTCTGACTGCTGGCTGAGGAAGGATGCACTCCTGCGAGAGACGTGCTGCTACAAGAGACACGTGCTGCTGGGAAAGAGACTCAAGAGACACGCATTGCTGAGTGAGACACCGAGGGGCATGCACTGTTGGGAGAGAGACTATAGGAGACTTTTGGCTGAGAGACGGTGGGCTGGGAGAGAGACTGAGCGTTTTTCCTGAACTTGAATTATAACCTGGTGCTTCCCTAATAAACTTCATAATCTGTGAGTTCTGTGTGGCCACTGCAGCGAATTATTGAACCCAGGAGAGAGGTGGTGGTGCTTTGGGAGGAAGAGTTGGCGAAAGGGCTGGAGGGAGGCAGCATGTCCGGCCTTGAAGTAATAGGCCTTGGGCTATTGAGGATAATTCTGTCTTCCTCTTGTGGGATTAGACGAGGTCAGAACATGTGGCCTCCTTGTCCTTTTTGCAGTATACTAACACTGACTTTGCATGGTTTATGTAAAGATTAAAAACAATGCATGTAAAGCACACAGAAATACTTAGATTACAGGATGTGGATATTAAATAGCAATTATTATAGGAATGTATGTTCTCAAGACAGCCTGACATTTGGTGGGAATCTTTCTTATTGGATTAACTACCTAGATATAATAAAATAGCATAGTGATTTAATTTTTCAAATATATCAATGTTCTTTTTTTTCCCCCTGGTTGATATTTTTCTCTGAGTTGTTAGAGTGACATTAATTCTATAGATCATTGTGGGGAGAAATAACATCTGTACAATATTGAGTTTTTTGTTCCGTAACAGTTATTTGGGTTTTTTAAATGTTTGTCAATAAACATTCTAATATTCTCCATAAAGGTTCTGTAACATTTAATGTTGTTTCTTTTAAAGTAATTTTCATTATTTTAATAATGCACTGAACATTTTTGAAAAGCCTAAGAGTGGTTTATGGATTTATAATGATTTAGTTTTAATTTTTTTCAACAGGATCAAATTTGGCTCCTGAAAATCTGGACTTGATTTTTGCATGCTATAAGTTAATCTAGTCCATTCCACTGACTGATCAAGCTGTGATGTATCAATCAGAACAAAACCCAGATAGGTTGTGATGAGAATGAAATTCTTGTATGGCTCTCTAGAAGCATCTATAAGAAGATTCTTTGATCATGGTGTATTTCAAGAAACTCACTCTGGACACTTGCTGCCCATTTAATGTGACAGTTTTAACTTTCCTACTTACTGATGTATTACTGTTATTGCTGGCTGCACTGAATGGGTCAGTACTTGAAGTGGCAAAAGGATCAGTAGTAGATTGCTTGAAGAAACAGTCAGATGCAAATGGATCTGAACCTCTGAAAGGATCACCTCCAAATGGATCTAAGGAAACAGCACAAACAGAAAAAAAAGAAAAGAAAAATCATTACTGTAAATGTCCTGTCATCTGATGGCATGATAATTGCTTTAACTGAAAAAAATTTTTTACTCTCACAGAAATCTAAATTAGATACTTTGTGACATGAATATTAATTATAAAAAACTACTGCCAATGTAACTAGCCTTAATGAACATTCTTTACTGTTTATCATCATTTACCCAAAGGAAATCAGTAATTCCAACAACCTGTTTATGCAAGTATTTTCTGAATGCTAGGTTTAAATAATTCCTCTGAACTGGTAATTCTCATTCTCTTGAGAAATACAGATTCCTTTCAGGTTTTAATAAGAGATATATTTCACCTAACAAATTTAATTTTTTAAAAATTAGCTTGATTAGTTTTAAATAATCATAAGTAATGTCCATATGATTTTGTCCAAGACATGTTTACTAACATTATTGAGATACTTAGAATAAAATATAATTCAGGAAGAAAAATTAGGCACTGAATAAATGAGTGATCTGTGATTATTTATTAAAAGCTGAGGCTTCTAGATAAGGGTAACTAGAGCCTGACATCTAACAATTCTTCAAGATGCTTCCTTTTCCCTCGTTCATGCAAACAGGCTGTAAACTTAAAAACAACAACAACGAAAACCCATTGCCACTGAGCAGATTCCAACTCACAGCGACCCTCTTAGGGCAGGGTAGAACTGTCCCAGAGGGTTTCCATGGCTGTAAATCTTTACGGAAGCAGACTGCTTTATGTTTCTGCCATGGAGCAGGTGGTGGGTTCAAACTGCTGACATTCTGGTTAACAGCTGAACGCTTTAACCACTATACCACCAGTACTCCTTGGCTGTAAACTGAGGAAAACAAAATTAAGTTTTAATCTCTGTAGTGGTGTAGATCATTATGCTCATGTAATCAGAAGAAATCAGTATAAATATTATTAAAAGCACCAAAGTATAAATTACTAATGATATTTTAAATAAACAGTTTATTAAGCAAATTCACAAAAGCCTACCACTCCCTTTCTGAAAATGCCAGGCACACGCATCTTACAAGTGCCTTAGATCAGTTTAAAAACTGAATAGAAAGGAAATCTATTCCCTATAACTACTCCCTATAACCTGTGACACACCACCAACCCAATTTCCTAACTACCACATAAGCTTAATAATTAAGCAGAATCCAATTAGAGCTAAGATGGACTTCAATAAAATACTGACCAATTTTCCCAAAAGGATCATCCTTGAAAGGATCACCTAAAAAAAATAAGCAGAAATCAAAATAACATTATTATTTCTGTGAAACCGTAACTTATTTTGGAAATAAAACACAAAAGAGCTTTAACACAAGCAGTATTTAACATGGTTTACAATGACAGCAAATATTTTAATTCATCAAACTTGTTTCTTCAGTAAGGTGGTAGGAACCTTAAGGATGAGGACCAGGCTAACCCTTCTATAGCTTTTGCTTTTTTTAAAGAATAGCACTGGCACTTTTAATAAATAATCGTTGCAAAGACTCCCAATCTCTTCTGCTATTCCGTAACATGTCTTGCCTTTGGTCCTTGCTTTGAAGAAGAAACTTTCTCTTAATCCAAGGGTTCCTGTTGTTGTTCGATGCTATCAAGTTGGTTCTGATTCATAGCAACCCTGTGTACAACAGAAAAAAACACTGCCCAGTCCTGCACCATTCTCACAATCATTGCTATGTGTGAACCCAATGTTGTAGCCACTGTGTTCAATACATGTCATTGAGAGTCTTCCTCATTTTTACCGAATTTCTACATTTCTAAGCATGATGTCCTTCTCCAAGAACTGGTCCCTCCTGATAACATGTCCAAAATATGTGAGATGAAGTCTCCCATCCTCATGCTTCTAGGGAACATTCTGGCTTGCACTTTTTCCAAGATAGATTTATTCATTCTTCTGGAAGTCCATGGAATATTTAATTTGCCAATACCATAATTTGAAGGCAGTAATTCTTCTTCAGACTTCCTTACTCATTACTCAGCTTTCACATGCATATGTGGTGACTGAAAATACCATGGCTAGGGTTAGGTGCACTTTAGTCCGCAAAGTGCCATCTTTGCTTTTTAATACTTTCAAGAGGTCCTTTGCAGATTTGCCCAGTGCAGTATGTCATTTATTTCTTTACTGCTGCTTCCATGGGTTTTGACTGTGGATCCAAGTAAAATGAAATCCTTGACAACTTCAGTCTTTTCTTTGTTTATCATGTTGTTGCTTATTGGTCCAGTTATGAGGATTTCTGTTTTATGCTGCAGTGTAATCCACACTGAAGTCTTTGATCTTTATAAGTAAGTGCTTTTAAATCCTCTTTGCTTTCAGCAAGCAAGGTAGTGTCATTTGCATGTTGGAAGTTATTAATGAGTCTTCCTCCAGTCCTGATGCTATGTTCTTTTTCATACAGTCCAGATTCTTGGGTTATTTGCTCAGCGTACAGATTGAATAAATATAATGAAAGGATACAACCCTGACAGACACCATAAAAAGCTTAGTTCCAGGGTTTAGTTGCCTGCGGAAGATAAGTACCAGCAAATTTGAGCATATAAAGCCTCACTCTTTCCTCTACTATCATTGTACCAAGTACACTCTCAAAACTCAAGCCCTATGCTTACACAGTTTATGTATTAAAAAGCTTTTTTAGTAAATCAGTGATATAAAAATAAGAGTACTTACTGCCAACAAAAGGATCAGACTGGAAGAAATCCAAGTTTGTATCTGCAACTGGATCTGTCAGTGAGCTTGATTCTACATTAAATGGATCTTCCTAAAAAATATGTTAAAAAATTTTTTTTAGGAACCAAAGAAGTCTTAAAAGGCAACATTTTAATGTAAAATAGTACATCCAATCATATGCATGTTTTGAAAAATCAATTAAATGTAGTTTAACAAATATTTCCATGGTCATAAAGTATACTTGACACATTTTTCTCTTTTTTTTAGCTTGAAACAGTATGTAACCCACCTAGGGAAACTAGCGATAAGAACATTTAAATAAAAAATTATTTTACCTCTTTTGAGTGTTTATCACTGTTAAATTCAGTACAAACATCTTCATTAACAGGTTCAGTCACCACTTCTTTTTCGTCAGTTGTACCAGTAGGTGGTACTTCAGGACTATTTCTTGCCTACAAAATATTAATGTCACATGAATTAAAAATATATGTTTCTACTGGCAGAGGAAACTGATAAAGGACAACTAAAAAATATAAAAATCACCACTACCACAATAAAACAAGTAGATAATACGCACTGAATGACTCTATAATCTTTCTTAGGTAAATGATACCACCAACCACTGAAGTCACAGAAACCAGAAACCTTTAGGTCATCCTTAACTACTTCTCTTTCAATCATTCCCCAAGTTCTGGAGTTATGCACTAAGTCCTATCAAGTGGACATCATAATTTTTTCCTGTCTTTCACCTTCTCTCAATCCTTGCTGTCACTATCATATGTTTCTAGGATCATCATTTCTGCTCCAGTTTACTACAGTAGGCGTCCAACTGTCTTCCTGCTTCCAATATCCTCCTTATAGTAGCCAAAGTGAAAGATTTTAAATGTAAATGTGATAATTATCTTCTGGCTAAAAGTCCTTCAAAGACTCCTCATAGCTTTCTAGATTTAGACCAGTACATAATGAATTTAGGAAATAGTAGGGGCAATCTCCATTTCAACCACCTTTAAGTCTTTGAGGGAGTTCTGGTGGCATAGTGCCTAAGGCATTTGACTGCTAACTAGAAGGCTGGCAGTTGAAACCCACCAGCCACTCCTCAGAAGGAAGGCTGGGCAATCTATTTCCATAGTGATATAGCCTCAGAAACCCAAGGAGGTGGCGCTATGCGTTGGATCAGACTCAACAACAGTGCTTTGTGTTTGTTGTTGCATAAATCTTTGAAGGACAGTTGAGTAATTAGTCTTTAGTGCTTAAAAGAATACCGTATACTAATGTCAACTCAAACCCACCAGCCACTCCTCGGAAGGAAGGTTGGGCAATGTGCTTCCGTAGTGATACTGCCTCAGAAACCCAAGGAAGGGGTCGCTATAAGTCGGGTCCAACTCGACGGCACATAACAACAACAACAACAATGTATTCAAGACCATACTATCTTTACATTCTTAATATCGCTCATATTTGTATTCTCATTATCCCTCCTGTTACTGTTTAAGTTCAGGCTAAAACAACTCTCATAAAGACTATTCCAATAGTCTCTTTTAACATATCTCTTTGCATCCATTCTCACATTATAATCCATTTTCCATATTTTTGAAAAGGTAAATTTAATCATGTCACTTTTTGCTTAAAATTCTTCAATGGCTACTGACTGCAGTCAGATAAATTCCCAATGCTTCAAGATGATTCCAAATTTCTTACCCTTTCTGATCGAAATGTAGTTGTCTTTAACCAGGCACATATCAAAATCACCATGGAATTTGTTTTTATAATATGTGTACCTGGCTCCATGTCAGACATACTAGGTTCAGCAAGTTTAGGGTGGGGCATATACATCTTGATTTTGATAAAGTATCAGTAGTAATGAGAAATCCTACAGAGAGAGCCTCATCTCTCAATTCCCTCCATACCAACACAAGATACACTTTGAAAACTTCTCATGGCTCTGTACAGCATATTTTCCATCATTAATGCTGTTTTTTGCCAGGAATGCACCACCCTCTTCTTTGCTTACCCCACTGTCACTTGTCAATGATCACTTGCAAAATGTTCTTATAAAAACTTCCCTCACCCCTCTCCAATCTGTCCTTCTTGAATATCCTGTGCTTCCCTTATCACAGCCCTTTAACACACTGTTATACTTCTAGATTGTCTGTTGCTTCAAGACAGGGTTTAAAGGTCTTTTGTCCTCATAATTCTTACACATAACACAGCACATCTGCACATAGCTGATGCTATCTCAATAACTGGTAAATGAATCTCCTCAACATTATGTAATAAAAAATTACTTTGGGGATGGGTAAAGAAGATATTTTAAAAATTTAAAAAAATAAAGTTTACTAACTATAGAACTACTATTTAAGAAACATGTTCTATAACAAATAAATCCATTAAAAAGACATTTTTACACTAGTTAAAAACTAGCACTGCTGGATCAGTACTCGTTCTCTGCCTCTAAAAACAGTCTTAATCATCCTCAGATGATTCCAGGCCACACTGCTATTAAGTATGATGTCTACAAAATTTTGACCTGAATCTTTTTTTTTTTTTTTTCTTGAAGTAATCAATAAAGGCTATTAAAGTATTAGACTCACTGGAGATTCCTGGTGAATGGGCTCAGACTCTAGGTTGCTCTGGCCTTCAGCCTGCTCATTAAGGTTGGCTGTTTCACTGCTGCTGGTGCTGAGGCTGCAATAATCTGTAGCGCCATTTATAAGAATGCTGTGTGGACTACTGCACCAGTTTAACTGATGATTATGGTTTTCCAGCTCTTTCATTTCCATTAGTTTCATTTGCATCTGTCAACACAAAATAGAAATACAAAACAGAATTTATTACTAGAAAGATGTACAATGTAAAAATGCCTATACTCCTAGACTTAGTCTAAGTAAATTTATTTTTAAAAAGAACTGCCTGGGAATGCAGCATGACTTAGAGGAAAGATTTCAGTAATTCCTCTCAATAAGTTCCTCTCTTGAAATTCTAGTATATGTAGATTTGCTTTTGTACCTTTTTTAAAAGCCTCAAGAATTTTGATTCAAGTATCTGCAAATTGGCAGTCCTTTAGATGAAGAAGGCCAGGGTATCAGGAAAAAGATAGCAAAGTGGTAGAGGAAGAGGAAAAAAAGGTTTTGATGAAGATTTAGGAGCGAGAAAGTTGAGGAAGAGTACACAAGGCTTTGGAACCATACATAGCCCTACTGGGAATGAAGGAAGGAAGACAAAGGTAAAAGGAGCTAATCAGTTCATGTCTTATGCTTTGGAATTATTTATTAGTTGTCTAGGGACCTGGGAAGTACTCGCTAAATTTAAGCTATGCCATGCAGCTTAAACAAAGGGCACTCAAGTTTTTCTGACCTGAAACATCCATGTGACTTTATACTCCAGGGACAATAGTGGTCAGAGAAGGAAGAAGTCAATAAATTCTGAGATACATAAAAAGAGAAATGTTGGGAACTAGAGGCAGGGAAAATAATGCTTATTTATACCAATATCTATAATAAAAATACATTTACAAATACCTAGAAGACATTAAGACAAATCCAAAAAGAAATTGTTTCTAGTGAAAAAATAATAATAGAATCTTACTGAGTAGTACTCATTTTTCATAGAATATTTTTAAAAATGATATTGAAGCACCCTTTACTTAGTATGTTGTTTTTTATTTTTAGCAAACATAAACATCACCTATTGACCTTTCATTAAATTTACTCAAGGCTCTGGTCCCACAGTCTTTTTTCCCTTTATGGTTTTAAGTTGCTCAAGTTGGAATCTGTAATTAACTACAAGTACTTCCAGGGCCATAACCTGGGGAAACAAACATTACATTGGATTTGGAGACAGGTTTAAATCTGGTTCTTTCACCTTCTAAAGAGCTCTGGTAGTTTAGTGGTTAAGGCATTTGGCTCTGACTGGAAGGTCGGTGGTTCGAACCCATCAGCCACTCTACAGAAGAAAGATGAGGTGGTCTGATTCCACAGAGATTTACACCCTTGGAAACCCAATGGGGGTTGCTATGAGTCAGAACTGACTTGATGGCAGTGAGTTTGGTTTTTGATTTGGTCATCTTCTAGCTAGATGGTCTTAGCCAAAGTAACCTCTTCACAAGGAGATAGCTCAGAGGGCAGGAATGCATAGGAAAGAAGGACACAGGGAAGAGGTAACTGCAGGGAGGAAGTAGGAAGAGACCTGTTACATTACGGGGATTACAGTCAATGTCATGACACAAAATGTGTATGAACTGCTGTAAAGAAAATGCATTTGCTCTGTAAACTTTCACCCAAATCACAAAAACTGAAAAAAATAAAGTGACTTTTTCACTTTCAAAAGTTAAAAAAAAAAAAAAAGTAACCTCTCCAGCCTTCTGCTTTTTAATGTATATAGGGAGTATGTTAATAGAGGATTGTTATGTGGATCAAAAGAGATAATATCTTTGAAATGATTCTGTAATGTAAAGATCTATGTAAATGATGGACAACGTGGGTAAAAGTGCCTGGTGTTTTTGTTGTAAGGTGCCGTCGAGTAGTCTCCAACTCATAGTGACCCTATATATACAACAGAACAAAACACTGCCCTGGTCCTGTGACAGCCCCACAATCCTTGCTATACCTGAGCCCATCGTTGTAGCCACTGTTGTCAATCCATCTCTTTGAGAGCCTTCCCCTTTCTCGTTAACCCGCCACTTCACCAAGTACAATATCCTTCTCCTGGGAATGGTCCCTTCTGAAAACATGACCAAAGTAGGTGAGACAAAGTCTGGCCATTCTCGCTTCCAAGGAACATTCTGGCTGCACTTCTTCCAGGGCAGATTTGTTAGTTCTTTCAGTAGTCCATGGTACTTCCAGCATTCTCTGCCAACACCACAGCTCAAAAGCATTGACTCTTCTTCGGTCTTTCTTATTCATTGTCTAGCTCTCACATGCATGTAAGGCGAATGAAAATACCATGGCTGTGTCAGGCACACCTTAGCCTTCAAGGAGACATCTTTCCTTTTCAGCACTTGAAAGAAGTCTTTTGCAGCAGATTTGCCCAATGTTCTATGTGCCTAAGGCATTTGACAGCTAACCAGAAAGCTGGCAGTTCAAACCCACCAGCCACTCCTTGGAAGGAAGATTGGGCAATCTACTTCTGTAGTGATACTGCCTCAGAAACCCAAGGAGGGGTCACTATGAGTAGGATTTGACTCGATGGCAGTGAGTTTGGTTTGGTTTTGGTTTATATGTCATCTGATATCTTGACTGCTGCTTCCACTGGTGTTGACTGTAGAACCAAGTAATATGAAGCCCTTGACAACTTCAATCTTTTCTCCATTTATCATGATGCTGCTTACTGGTCCAGTTATGAGGATTTTTGTTTTCTTTATATTGAGGCGTAGGAACTCTAGTGACGTAGTGCCTAAGGCACTTGACTGTTAATCAGAAGACTGGAAGTTCAAACCCACCAGCCACTCCTTGGAAGGAAGATTGGGCAATCTAGTTCCATAGTGATACTGCCCTGGAAACCCAAGGGGGGGTTGCTATGAGTCAGATACAACTTCAGCAGTGAAGTGAATTTGGTTTTCTTGGTTTTACACTGAGGTTTAATCCACACTGTAGACTGCAGTCTTCAATCTTCATCAGTAAGTGCTTCAAGTCATCCTCACATTCAGCAAGCAAAACTGCGTTGTCAGCATATTAATGAGTCTTGCTCCAACCCCAACACCACAATCTTCTTCATATAGTCCAGCTTCTCGCATTATTTGCTTAGCATACAGACTGAGTAAGTATGGTGAGAGGACATAACCCTGGTGCACTCTCTTCCTGATTTTAAACTATGCAGTGTCCCCTTGTTCTGTCTGAATGACAACCTCCTGGTCAATGTATAGGTTCCTCATGAGTACAACTAAGTGTTCTGGAATTCCCATTCTTCTCAATGTTATTCATGACTGGTTACAATCCACACAATTGAATGCTTTTGCATAGTCAATAAAATACAAGTAAACATCTTTCTGGTATTCTTTCCTCATAGCCAAGATCCATCTGACATCAGCCATGATATTCCTCATTCCACATCCTCTTCTGAATGCAGCTTGCATTTCTGGAAGTTCTCTGTCAATATACTGCTGCAATCATTTTTGAATTATCTTCAGTAAGATTTTACTTATGTGTGATATTAATGACATTGTTCGATAATTTCCACATTCTGTGGGATCACCTTTCTTTGGAATGGATACAAATATGGATCTCTTCAAGTCAGTGAACCAGGTAGCTGTCTTCCAAATCTCTTGACATATCCAAGTGAGTGCCTGCAGCACAGCATCGATTTGTTGAAACATCTCAATGAGTATTCCATAAATTCCTGGAGCCCTGTTTTTCTCCACTTCCTTCAGTGCAGCTTTGATTTCTTCCTTCAATACCATTAGTTCTTGATCATATGCCACTTCCTGAAATGGATGAACATCAACCAATTCTTTTTGGTATAGTGACTCTGTGTATTCTATCTTCTTTTGATGTTTCCCGCATTATTCAACATATCACCCATGGAATCTTTGAATATTACAGCTTGAGGTTTAAATTTTTTCTTCGGTTCTCTCAGCTTGAGAAATGCCGAGCATGTTCTTCCCTTTTAGCTTTCCAACTCCATGTCTTTGCACATTTCATTATAATAACTGACTTCGTCTTCTTGAGCTGCTCTTTGAAATCTTTTGTTTAGCTCTTTTATCTTGTCATTTCTTCCATTTGCTTTAGCTACTCTCCATTCAAGGGCAAGTTTCAGTCTCTTCTGACATCCATTTTGGTCTTTTCTTCCTTCCCTGTCTTTTTAATGACCTTTTGCTTTCTTCATGGGTGATATTCTTGATGTCATCCCACAATGCCTCTGGTTTTCAGTCACTGGTATTTAGTGCATCAAATCTATTCTTTAGATGGTCTCTAAATTCAGGAAGGATATAATCAAGTTTATATTTTGGCTCTCGTGGACTTGTTTTAAGTGTCTTCAACTTCAAGTTGAACTTGCATATGAGCAGTGAAAGGTCTGTTCCACAATCAGCTCCTGGCCTTGTTTTGGCTGAAGATATTGAGCTTTTCCATCGCCTCTTGCCACAGATGTTGTCAATCTGATTCCTATGTACTCCATCTGGCGAAGTCCACGTGTATAGCCACCATGTATGTTGTTGAAAAAAGGTATTTGCGATGAATAAGTCATTGGTCTTGCAAAACTATGTCATGTCAATAACATCTCCAGTGCTGTAAAGTACTCAAAGTATGTTCACTGGACGAACATAGTATGTAGTTATAAATTAAACAGTAGGCCATAATAAGCACATATATCTACCAAACTGTATTATATTTAGATACTAAATTTAAATGTACTTTGTATTTTATCAGTTCTATAAAGTAGTGGTGTGTAAACTTTTTTACTTTAACCCATATATATTTTTATTTTATATCTTAACCCAGTACATGTGTATGTAGATATTTGGATAGGTCTGTGTATCTATGTATATGTAAACACACGCACACACACACACACAACACGTAGATACATATATAAATAAAATGTGTATGTGTATATAAGTATGTAATATTCACATAATATACACACAGATACAGTAATAGAATAAAAGTTTCATGAAATAGTTATACTTAACCCTACTATATGTGACACACTCTGATGTTTCCTATTCTCTCCTGTTTCAATCTTTAAAACATTTTTTATCATGACCATTAAATCAATTTCATGACTCACTGTAATCTTAGTTTTAAATTAAAAACTTGAACATTAAAATAATATCACACAGATCAAAGAGTAAGTGGAAACA